CCTTCCTTGGGATTTTCAGAAGCCTCCTCTGTATTCCTGGGCAGGAGAAGGGACCACCCCCAGGCAGGAGCTGCTGCCTTGTATGGCAGACAGCTGAGCCCGTAGATGGCTGGGAGGCGCTAACTCTGCAAGTGGCACTTTGTTCAGTATAAACCTGAGTGCTTCTGGGACTCAGCAAGGAAGCAGGAAAGCCATCGCTTTCATTGTCTGTTTTTCTCCCTTTTGCAGTGAGGGCTCCTGCTTGGCCTCTATTTTACAAAATGAAAGCAGCTGTTCCGTATTTCTTAAAAATTGGATCTTAAAAAAATGTTTTTTATTTGTTAGAATTAAACGACCGGGAAGAAAACGAAAACCACTTTCCAATAATTTATGGCATTGGTAAGTAGTGTGTTTATTTGAGAGGTGGAGGCTGGCCACATGTTGACAAGGCAGGCTCTAGTTAGAGGCCGATTCTGTGAACTAGTGAGCCCCCTGATGTCAGTTATGTCACAGCCTTAGCTTCCTGTTTGTTGGGGGACCTTGGGCAAGTAGCTTACCTTCTCTAAGCATTATCTACAGAAGGGAGAAAATGTCCACATCTCAAGACTGGGAGGAGAAAGCCAGGTAGCACATACATAGCATGGACAGTGCCCGCAGTAAGGGAGTGTTAGTGGCACTGTGCTCACCTGAGGTGGCCAACTGTGTTCTCTCCAGCCAGGGCTCCAAGGGCTGGAGTGGGGCATAATAATTTTGTTACACGTAGGGAGCCAAGTAGGGTTTTGATTGAGAACAAAGATCGTACACAAAGGAAAGTATAGCTATCAGATTAGGGAAAATCCAGAAACGGGCCCTCCTGTGACGGCCACTAAGACTCCCAAGGATATAGATGAAATTGGCTCATTTGCAGAGGGCTTCTACCATAGTAGTAGTTTATGTATTTAGCTGGGCAGTGGGTAAACAGATGTGCGTTATTTTATTCATTATAATTTTCTATATGTCTAAAATGGGTAGTAAAAGTTAGTATACAAACAAAACACTGAACTTGGCCACGATCACCCCCAGCCACTTGCAGACAGACACATTTGGTCACGGGGCTGACCAGGAAGGCCTTGCCACACACCTGTCTGAGATGGAGTGCCTTCTCCCCGGGGCCGGCTCTTGGCCTGGAACAGTCTTACTGAACCTAGTTCAGCTCAGGCCTCAGCGAGAGTGAGATGCTTGGGTAAAAAACTGCATTTTCCCTCCCAGGAATGGGAAAGCTATAGGCACTTACAAATAATTTTGTTCCATTTCCACTCTATTCTCTTTCTGAAAGAGACTTATCCATATTCTGTTATATATGGTGGGAGATCTGTAGGCTTGTGCAAACTTTCCATGTTTGTCTTTTGCCAACTCAGAGTCATCCTGTTGTCCCTCACAGCTGTCAACATTAAAACTGCAGAGATATACAGAGCCTCCTTCCAAGATCGTGGTCCGGAGGAGGAGCTGCGTGCTGCACGAGCTTTAACAGGAGGACCAGTGAGTCTGGAATCATCTTTATGTTAGGGGATAAGGAAAAAAAAGGGTATCAAAATGCAAAGCCTTATAGACCTTAGAAATGAAAATTTCGTGTCACCTTCTTTAAAGCTGCAAATTAATTAGGAACTGCCACACACACATATACACATTCTCTATCTCTGTCTCTGTTTCTCTCTGAATGCTTTTAGGTTATAAGCTCAAGACCCCACTTCTCTGCCTTAAAGATGTAAAGGAGGGTAATGTGTACCCCCAGCACCCAATCCAAACAGAACGGGCCCCTTTTGCTTTCTAAGAACTACCTACAAAGAAAGAGCCAGGAAGGGGGAAGGAGAGGTTTCTCCCCTCCATCTTGGATCATACACACCTTTGGACCAAGTCACTAAAAAGCAACCTGCTGGAACAAATTGATCAAAAGACTGATCAAATCAACTTAAAAGTCTAATTGCCTTAGTTTGTTTTTTAATTAAATAACATTTTAATTTTAAAAGTTAGAAAACTAAAAACCTAAGACTGACATGCCATTTGAGGAATGGGTGAAAAAAAATCCTTCAAAAATGCATAAAGTGTGAAAGAAAATCACATTCAGAGCACCCAAAAGAGTTCTGCTCATTCATGAAATACTGATTTTCCCACTGGAAAATAATGTTTGGATTCAGAGTGACCGGTTCTGCCAATCCTTTAACATTTTTAGGGTCCCTTTTAATAATTCCTCAAGTACCATAATAGCCTTGATTTAGCTAGTATTCAAAATCTATTTCATTCAGTCTCAGTAATCCAAATTGAACATGCTGGTTAAGCTGAGAACGACCATGGACATATTTGAGAATTCAGAGAATTGATCATTTGGCAAATTAGCATTTTTACAGATCATTTTTCCTTTCTTTTGATGAGGCAACAGGCATTGTGTAAGTTGCAAGGTAACTTAGCTGCTTGGGCATAAATAATGAGGCAGTGTTTTGTGTAGCAACAAGGAACGTGGACTTCAGTCAGATACACCTGGGTTTGAGGCCCAGCTCTGACGCTTACTGGAAATGTGGCTGTGGCTGTGTGCCCTGTTTCTCTGAGCCTCAGGCTTTCAACCAGAATGGGAAGAATGCCATCTTCCTGCAGGATTGTTGTCAAGACTAAACAAAATATATTACCCACAAAGTGCAGTACCAGACAGTTGGAAGTATTCAGTAAGTAGCAGCTTTTGTTATTAGGAGACAAAATTGTAAAGCTTATCATTCAGATAAATGCCTTAACTGCTGGACTACACTGGAACCTGCTTTGATGGTAGGGTTTGAGAAGCTGATGGCATTCCTTAAATTCTACCCTTGAAATGTTCTTTTTTAGATGATCAGTATTTATGATGCAAAGACAGAACAACTTCGTATAGGACCGTATTCCTGGATGCCATTTCCACATGTGGATTTCTGGTTGCAGCAAGATGATAAGCAAATACTAGAGGTGAGAATTTACAGGTTGGGCAAATCTTAACTCTTTGGACCCTGGTCTCCTCATCTGTAAGAAAACAAAGAGTTTAGACTAAATAATAGCTGCTTTTGATAGTATTTATTTTTAGGAGGCCACTGACAGGCCCCACTTCTCTATCAACTGGGGATAAGTAATGCCTTGGACAGACACTTGCATAGATAAGGCAGTAAGCAACCAACTACCTTTTTTTCTCATTAACCTGTACATCGCAGTTCTTAGGTAATTTTATAATGTACATATATTTATATAATGGTCAGAGAACATCCTGATTAATGTTTAAGGAACACAAGGATATTTTATTCAACATCTTTATCAAAGTAGGGAACAGAGAGAGGTTATTTTCTCATGTCTCAAATCTTGTTTTTCCAGAACCTTTCCACTTCACCTCTGGCTGAGCCCCCCCACTTTGTTGAACATATTAGGTCTACCTTGATGTTTTTAAAAAAATATCCATCTCCAACAAATACACTATTTCCTGGAAATAAAGCTCTCCTCTACAAAAAAAATGAAGATGGCTTATGGGAAAAGATCTCTTCTCCAGGAAGCTAAAAATAGGAATTACCAAAGAAAGCAACTTTTTGGAATGACAGAGACCATTGGTGGGGGTTGGACAGAATGTGAATTTGGAATCTACATCCATTGAGTCTTAGTGTCATTCAAATGACTTTCAAAATAAAATCTTATTTTGGCAAAGGCATTTGTTTAAGTTTACTTTTTGCTTTGCTAAAAAGTGGACATCCAGCTTTTCCTGTTTGGTTAGTAGTAAGGGGCAGAGCAGAAGCCACCTACCTCACTAATCGATGACAGCTATTTCAGTGGCTTAGGTAAGTATTTCTAATGCTATAAAATTAGTGAATAAAGAAAAAATTGTAATTTGCTTTAAAAACAGTATTTAAGATGCAGTAAAGTTCAGTGAGAATTTATACATATCACAGAGGGTATTTTTGGGGCCCCAAAATATTTTAGAAGCATCGAATCCACAACTAATATAGATATACTTCTAGATGAATGAGATGAAAGGTTTGGAAAGACAAGCGGGGTTTGATCTCACTGTTTTGCTATATAATTATCTCTAAAACAGATAGTTTTCCCATGAGACTAAATTTAATCTGAGTGTTACACAAAACCACTGATAAATCTGCTTTTTTAGATATAAGGTCATTAAAATGCCCAAATTGTGATTCTGATGCAAATTTTAAGAAATCTTTATTTTTCTGAAGTTGCTATCTATCCTAAAGGAAGTCACTATGCTCGATTAATAGTAAGATTTATGAACTGAACTCACTGGTAACAATTTGAAGAACCTTTATTGAAACCAACATTCAAATAGTATCTCAAGGGTGAAATTCTGTTTCAGCAAAACCAAGTTAACAATTCCAAATATATATATAAAAACATTTAAAAATTAATCTTGTTAAAGGTGATAATTTCCCCTTTCCCCATTTTATCTGCTATATACTTCATTGCACCAAAAAAACAGGGAAGACTTTGTTTCATCATGTGCACGAAAGAGAGAAAGAAAAAGGAAAATTGCGTTTTGACAAGTGCCAAATATCAGAAATCACATTAAATCAGAGTGTAATTATAGGCTTGCCGTGGTGTAACTAAGGCTTCCAATACTAGAGTCCACAAACCCAGTGTGAATTCCCACCACCCGAGGGTCTCTCAAGACTGACTGCTAGATTAGAGGCACATGGCCATCACCTATGATAGATGAAGGGATGCCATGCTTCTGGAAGAGCAGACGTGGGCAGTCATTAAGGGCTGACTTTCAGTTACTTCAGCAGTAGTCTGGCTTGATCAGCCTGGGAAAAGCTACTTTTCAGGTTCTTGTTTCTGAGTTGGGCCCAAAGGGGTGAGCTGCTAGTGGAACAGAGGGTATGGAAGCTCCCATGTGAAACAGGTCACAGGTATACTTATTTTAGAATTTAAATTTAATTTAGTGCTACATAACATTTTCTATTAGGCTCTTAAGAGTAGCATCTATTGGGTTTTCAGATATTAAACACAGAAATGAGCACAGTCTGTTCTTTTGCGCCAATTTAAAAGCTTTACCAGTATTTAAAAATACACATATATATGGTCAAGAAGAGTCTTTGCCCATAATAGATGAATCCTTTAATTTGTTTACGAATAGTATATAAAGGGAGGAATGGAGCTGTGGCAGAGGAAAGTCAGACAAGCACAGCCCAGTCTAACTTGCTTGACAGCCTGCCACAGCTGGAGTGGACACAGTCCTTACGTCTTCAGGGAAAGCAGCGGTCGGGGATGGCAGGAGAGGGCTCTTATTTACAATCCCATTGAAACCCATTCTCCTTCAAGCCAACACGATCCACTTGTGCTCTGCAACCTGATCAAACTAAACACCAACTAATATAGATGGCAAAAGCTATCTGTCTCTCCTCTGCCGCAGTAACAACAGAGAACCCACAGAGTTCTAAAGAAAGCTGTCTTACCAAAAAGTTATTATGTGCAACCTAATAACTTATGCTTATGTTTACAAATATAAGAGCAAGTGTTTCAAGTGGCAGGCACTTGACATTCCGAGTGTTCTTTGTGAATAAAAAGTGTTTACGGTAACTTGGGGATAAAATGTATTACTACAGTTGGGTAGAGAGAAACAATAGTTGTTCTCTATATCCATAAAATTAGACAAGTCAATTACCTTCCTAGAAAGCCTGGCTTTCAGGCACATATTTGTGCAAAAACCCCAGTTAAGCACAAATAACAGTAATTTCTCTTGTGTTAGCATGTGGCACAGTTCACATTTTCAGAATAACTTCATCTTTCCTGACACAATATTCATACAGTCTCAAACCAAACACTGAATTTTATCTTAAGCTTTCCGGTTCTTCTACCTGTGGGCGGTCATCTTCTGGGCCCTGGGCCCTGTTGTGGAAGGCTCCAGCCTGCCTGGCTTCCTGTGGGGTGGGAGCCCCTGGGTGTTGCTCAGGGCTGTTAGCCTCCAGGGCCTCTTGTTCCGGTCCACCAGACACGGGCTCCACTTTTTCTAAGTCTTCAATGTGACTGACTGAGCTTGTTTCACTTAGAGCATCTGAACCTCTTAGGGACTTTTTAAAAGGCTTCTGGCCTAGAGAAAAGTGGGAGGAACAACACTGAAAGTGCGGTAAAGGACACTTCTGCAACAACGCTCTCTGTGCAACGATACTACTTTATTAATTCCAACTGTTCAGCAGAAACCCTTGGAATTAGTGGCTCTGAAGCATTTAAGTGGTGAGGCAAGAAAACAGAGCTGACAGGAGATTAACATGCTCCCAAGGCTGGGAACTTTTGAGGCCACCTTAATAAAGAAAAACTCAGAAGAGCAAACACCTGGTTAAGCATGATGCCAGTTCTCAAGACTCTCACTTCCCCCTCGGGAATGCTATGGAGGTATTCCTCCAAGGCTAAAGCCCAAGGCAACTGGAATGGTTATTTAAAGAGACAGCTGGTCTTAGTCTAAGATAAAAAGGACTTTGGGTTCAAGAACCATGAAAACAAAGGAATGCAGCTAATCCAAATGGAAAACCATTCCATGATGCAAAAAGGTCTGTTTTCCCAAGAGAAATACAACCCCTTGAGTGTTAACTCACATGCAGATGTACCTGGAAGTCTCTGTTTAGTGCGAGTCCCTGAGGGGGTCTGAGGCGGTGTTACTCCAGTACCTTGTACTTTGTAGACATAAGTGTGTTCTGTGGACTCCAAAGAGCCTGCCGGGAAAAGAAAGAGGGGTGGGTGGACACTCCTGGCACAGGCTGCCCTGGGAGATGCCCCAACACAGCCTTGTTCCCTGTTGAGCTTCCTCCACCCATGCAGCCTTGCGTAGACTGGTAGAGACTTGGGAGCCCCTGAAACATGCCAGGAACTGGAGAAAGCCATCTCACAGCTGTGTTCATGAGTCTGGTCCTGCTGGTGTGTTTCATCCTTGCCTCCCCAGGCACCCTGCGGACATGTGAAACACTCAGCCAGCAGTGTGGAGAGCCAGGCCCAAGTGGGACACACGCTATCTTCCCCTCAGAAAGCTTTAGCAACTGTACTTTGGCAACAAGGAATGGCTGAAAGTCAGATTATCTGGTTGTCCTGTGACAGCGAAGTCATTATTTCCTGGGGAAGGGACAGAGGGAGAGAGCTCCTGCCAGAACAGGAAAGGAGTCCTATAGTTGGATATTATCTTCCCCAAATCCCAGCAACTGGTAATTCTTGTTGGTTCTCTAGTTTGAATTCAAACTGTCCAGTGCTATAGACCACAGTCTTTTAATTGTCCCTTTCAATGGGAGCCCTCTCCTGGGCAAAACACTAATGAGGACTACAATGTTAACACTGAAGCACAACGCTGAGACCCAGCCTTGAGGGTCTGAACAGCTGAGTGAACATGTCCTCATTGGGTTCCAGGAAGTCTGCTGTGGGCAACATGTATCTGCTTTCGTGCCATTTCAGCAGTGGGGGCGGGAGAGGGAATATGAAAGTCACAGGGGCAGATGGATTCCTGGCACAGTACCCAGGATAAAGCATGGGACATACACAAGGCTTTTCAGTGAGTGTTGGATCCCAGGGCATTTGGTCAAAACTCTCAAGGTACATGAAATCTGGGAGGAGGCTGTGAGTCCTACCTGCTGTTAGGTTAAAAGTTCTTCCCTTCTGTGAAGGTTGGACTGGAGAAAACCAATTCAGCACGGATCCTACTACAGGGATCTGTCGTAACACCCCCTGCAAAACATAACGTTGCTCAACATCGCCCTGTCCAGTCTGGCTCCCAGCTTGAGCCACTCCACAGACTCACCTCTTCCAGAAGGCGCTCCTCGTTGGCCTTCTGCAGTTGAACCTGAGCTTCCTGAATTCCTTTCCGAACCACTTCTGTCATGTTCTCCAGAAGCTGTGTTAAGACCAAGAAAGGCATTACTTGTCTAAACTTACTGCCCGGGGCCTAGAAGAACTATTAACACAGTGTTGGGGACATTTTTTGAAAGTTTGTTAGTAAATGGAATTCTGTACTTTAATTAAAACATCAGTATAAAAATAAAATAGAAAATCTAATAAAAGAGGATAAAATAAAATGCTCAAGGAACCTTAGGCAGACATACCTTGGTGACCAGCCTTATTAGCCAGGGTACAGAGAGGAGAAATAACTGTCCCTATGATCTGAATGTCAGATCAGTAGAAAATAGACATACAGCTCCACATTCGTGGATATGGAGTCAGAAGTGATATAGTCAGGCTTGGAAGAAACTTAAGTCCACTCAAGAAGGAATAAAGCTTGCTCCTCAGCCTCATTTCAAACTTCCTTCTCTTCCCCACCCCTACCAAAATTGACACATGACAGGTGTTGCTGTCTCTTCTCAGATCAGTCTTGCTTTGGTCACTTTTCTCCTTTTGGATGCTCTCTAGTGCTTCAAATCTCTGGTTGGGAGGAGCGACTTTACACCTCATAGCCTCCTCCTTCATGCCAACTGGCCAACAGGAGCAGGAATGCTACTGACGGGAAGTTCCAGTTATGAGAAACATCTGTCTCATTCAGCCTCAGGACCCAGCTACAACCAGCAAGTCTTCCTTGGCCTTGTCTGGCAGAATGAATACATCTTCCTGAACGCTCAGCTACCGCTAACTTCTACTCCACAGCATTTACCACCTCACTTGATTATATTTATCTCTTTCTCCAACTTGCCTGTGAGTTCCCTGAGGACAGGGACCATGTCAAATCCACTTGGCATTCCTGACGCCTGGCAAAGATTTAAAAACTTTTTGGGGAAGAATGAATGAACGGACATTTCTGAGGTCAGGATCTTCCTCTGACTCTAGTTAGTTGCCCGGGCAAAACCCAGAAAAGGAATGAAATGCTCATTAATCTTACAGACCCTTGAATTTTCCTCAATTTCTCGGGCTGTGGCTGCAATGGTCTCCACTAGTTCAGAAACATCTATGTCGTCACTTGCCATACCAATGTAAATGCAGCTCTTCATACTTTTATACTCAGGGCCTGTGGGAACAAACAGCAGACCAAGTTGGTTACCTGCCATCAGTCAGACACAGGCCTGCTTTTCTGTGAAACAGCATGATCATGTGCAAAGGAGCCTCCTTATGGAGCGAGGAAGGTGGTTCTAATGAGGAGACAGGAAGCCCAGAGAGGCTGCAAAAGGGAAAGGAGCTATTCACTCCCCAAGAAGAACGAAACCAACACTTCCTCAAAGAGACAGCCTGTTTTCTGTTAAGCAAATTAGATGTATCCTGGCAAAGTTCACAGGTGACTTATAAAAGTTGTAATTACCAATTTTAAATGTAAGGTCAGATTCCAGTTCGTTTAACTTTTTCAGGAGTCCAGCATGAATTTTTTCCCCTTCTGGATCTAATTTCAAACTGTTCTTATCATCATTAGCATGTTCATACCTATAAACAATATCAAACAACAGTATTTAAATCTAGAATATCAAATGTCTCTTCAGACACAGGATTACAGGGGGAGTATAAGCTCTGAGAGGTTAGCAAGAACGTGGAATGAGACAAATGTGCAAAGGAACCAGCTGGTTTCAAGATCACTAACTTTCATGAATATCTCAAGGAAAGGCCAAGCCTGTAGGTCCACTGAATTTAGAGACTGAAGGCAAGGTCCGGAAGTCTCATCATAAAAAAGGAGCTGTTCCTCATCCTGAAAGGAGGTGGAAAGCAACCACAGGCAAGACGACACACTGACTACAAAGGACACACCATTTGCTCTGCTAGGGAACTGGGTTTTCTCACACGCCATGCACGGGAACCACCTGTCAGCTATATACCTGAATACATCTTGTCCTAGTCACTTATAAGTTGGCACAGAAAGCACATACAGCGGCTGCTGTAGTGCCCTGAGTGTAATTGTGGCCCCGTAGCCTGCTGCACCGTGCTCTTGTAAACACCCAAAACATCTAGTTGAATTTTCATCATACATGTATACTGTGACGACACACATCCGAGATTGTTAAATTGGTTCATAAATGACCCACCATAGTTTTTATACAGCAAAGAGAAATTAACAGCAGGCAGCAAGCCAAGACCATACCTGACAACCCCTATTCCTGGCCAGTTAGGATCATCAACGTGTAAGAGGCCTGCTGTGCCTGCCACCTCTTGCTTGAACTCCTCTCGCAGCTGCAGTGTATAGGTGAGGACAGGTAGCTGGCTTTGTATGCAGGCTACAAGCTGATCCACGTCCTCTCCCCGAGTTCCTAAAACTAAAATCATTCACAGAACATTAGAGAAATGGTTAAGGAATTGCTAAATACGAGAGCATAGGGCTCTCATTTCCTCTACCAGAAAGGCCAACAGCTCTAGGTACATCCAATTAGCTGGAACAGATGAGCTAAAGGAAAAAAAAAAAACAAAACTACTAAAAAGGGGGCCAAATATATGGTGACAGAAGATGATCTGACATTGGGTGTTGGTCCCACAGTGCAATATACGGATCACGTATCAGAAATGTACGCCTGAAACCTGTATGACCATGTGAACCAATGTCACCTCAGTGGATTCTATTTTAAAAAAATAATATAACCAGCTCCTCTAGATGCAGGTTTCTTCTATCAAAGACAGACTTAATACATAATGAAACGAACGTGGAAATCAGATTCTTCCCACAGAAAGATTCTGCATAAGTCATGTTATAAACATCCTATTGCAGGTTGAGAACAAAGAGGCAACCACACAGTTCTTTCTGTAGACTTGACATCTTGGAAAGAAAAGGATTTTGGTGTGTTTGTGGTGGGGAGGCAGGAAAGGCAGGGTGATGAAGAAGGCAGAACTAAGCCACATCTGAAGGTCAGAGCCTGAGAGGCCTCTGGGCTTCAGGGATCCAAGAGTCATGGCACCACCACTACTCCCTCACTTCCATTGACGCGAACACTGCACGTGCGCTCACGAAGCCTCAGTACATGCTCCCTTGGTGTCCTCAACTAGCTTCTCCAGTTTTATAGACCAAGCCTCTGAGGCTTGGGGTAAGGACCTTACAGAGCAGAGACGATGCTCCTAGAGAATCCTGAGGCCACCAACCATCTTCATGAATAGCTTTCCTTTGCAGACAAATGCCTGCACTTCCCTCCTTTGATGTCTTTGAGAAAATACCTTTCCCAAAACGTTGAAAATATCTCATAAAACACCACCATTTTCTGCAAATGTTTAAAATAAAGCACAATAAAAAATTTTAATATATCTTTTTTTCAGCTTTTTTTTTTTAAATCCTCATCCGAGGACATTATTTTTTCATTGCTTTTAGAGAGAGAGGAAGGGAGAAACATTGACACGACAGAGAAGATTGACTGGTTACCTCCCACACGTGCCCAGATTGGGTATTATATGTGCCCAGACCTAGGATTGAACCCACAACCCTTTGGTTACAGGACGATGTTCCAACTGAATGACACAAGCCAGGGCTTTCAGCTTATTTTTAAGCGCCTACCATAAGGCATTTCATATACCGAATACACGATCTCATTTTAATCTTTGTATCCTTACCATGAGGTAGTTGGGAACAGGTGTGGAGATAAGAAACTTGCTCAAGGTCCCCACAGGTATGAAGTGGTCGAGGGGACAACAAACACCCTGGACTTTCTGTCATCCAAGTCCATGATTTTCAGCTACATTGCTTTCTTAAATGACTAAAACAGTGGTTCTCAACCTTTGCTGGCCTATTCAAATCACCAAGGAAACTTTTAAAAATAAGATGTCCAGCCTCCACTCTAGACCAAGTAAATCAGAACCTCTAGGTGAGGCCCAGCCACCGAGAGCTTTCAGAGCTCCACAGGTGATTCTAATGTACAGTGTGGACTGAGAACCACTGAATAGAAAAGGATCACAAGACAGCAAAACATAGAGATTCAAGTGACTTCAGAAGTCTCTGTTTCTGAGAAATGACACTGGAAGGCAAATCTACCTAAATTTAACCCAAAAGAAAAGAAAAAGCCTCTTGAAAGAGAACAGACTGTCACAGGGGAAAGCTAATCAATCCCACAGCCTGAAATTCATAGACATGTCACTGTTGCTTCCTAGAACAAAAGTGGGGGCTATCCATGGAGACAAGTTACCTGCTGCTGTCATCAAAGGGCTGAACCTCAAGCACACGCCCTCCACTTCCAGATCCATGATGGTGAGGCCACTGGCAGGGACCAGCTGTTTCAGCTGTTCTCCCAGCTGCAGGAAGAGGTGCAGAATGAATACACTCTTGCAAGGAGGAAATCAAGTGTCTTCAGACCTGCCCTCGTCTATTCAGTGTAGACCCAGGAAGCTCTTTGGGGGCTAATTTCCTTTAATCTTTTGATTCTCTTTGAATACTATGGCAATTCATTTTCAGAAACAGTAAATTTTATATTAATTTTCAAATTTTTTTTATTTTTTAAAGATTTTATTTATTTTTAGACAGAGGGGAAAGGAGAGAGAGAAAGGGAGAGAAACATTGATGTGTGGTTGCCTTTCACATGCCCCTTACTGGGGACCTGGCCAGCAACCCAGGCACGTGCCCTGACTGGGAATCGAACAGGCGATCCTTTGGTTCACAGGCCGGTGCTCAATCCACTGAGCCACAAGAGCCAGGGCTATTCTTCCTTTTTTTTTTTTTTTTTTTTAAAGATTTTATTTATTTCTAGAAAGATGGGAAGGGAGGGACACAGAGAAGGAGAGAAACATCAGTGAGGGAGAGAAACATCGAGTGGGGCTGTACCTGCAACCCAGGCATGTGCCCTGACCAGGTATCACACTGGTAACCTTTTGCTTTGCAGAAGAACAACCAACTGAGCCATACTGAGTCAGGGCTTTGCATCTATTCTTACTAAAAAAACTTAAGTTCATTGTAGAAAAATCTAGGAAATAGAAGTAAACCAAAAGAATAAAATAAAAATTATCCACAGCACACTGCTGAGATATACCCACTGTAGCCATGTGATATACCCACCCTTTCTGTGTGAGTGGTGTCAGTGTGCTTTGTTGTTGTCATAAAACAGGATATTCTATACCCTGTGTAGTGACCTGCATGTTTTTCATATAAATTATGACCACTTCCTGTCTTTCCTAAGCACTCAGCTACATGGTTTAATCTGAGACTTTTGAATATCATTGCATGGATGTACCATAACTTATTCACCAAACGTCCTAGGTTGGGCATGTCCAATATTTTGTTAGGATTAACACTGCTTTGCTAAATATCCTTACATTGTTTCCAACATTCTTTAAACTAAAACTCCTAGAGGTACAATTTCAGTGTCAAAAGGCAGCCAAAGCACAATGCCAGGCTGCCAAGGGTGTTCAGGGGCCTCTGGCTTATGCGCCTTCTACTATCACTACAGACCCTCACCAGAACCCCAGTGCGGCTGCACTGCAGTCCACATGGTGCATGTTGTTTGACAGCGAAGAAATGGTCACGTGGGGAAACTATGCTGGGAGGAGGATGTGCCAGGAGTCACACAGTATGTGAGGTGGTGATCCGATTAGAAAATCCCAGAATGAAGCCCAGTGTCTTCAGAGAGGGCTCCCTCCTGTGGGTCTGATTTCCCAGACATGACCATGTGTTATCCCAACCATCTGGGACAGAAGAAAGCACAGGACTGCCGTTCTCACCCAGCGATTCAGTGCATCACAGGAATGTCTCTCCCGGCTGACTGTTGAAGGTGCCATGTTGGGCGCTGGGACAGCTTTAAGCACTGGATCTGACACCAAAACAGAAAAAGGGGATTACCTCCCAGAAGCACAGGGAACTAAAACAGGTACCCCTCCAACTCCAATTCATTTAGCTCCTAACATTAACCCCCACAAAAGTCTCAAATATTACAGAAATCAAATGTATATCTTACATGAATGGTTATACAAAATGTGGTATAAACATAAAATGGACTATTATTCAGCCTAAGAAAGGAAATTCTATCACATGCTCAAAATGGATAAAACTTGAGGACATTATTCTAAGTGAAATAAGCCAGTCACAAAAGGACAAGTACTTCATGCTTCTGCTTTTATGAAGTACCTAAAAAAGTCAAATTAATAAAAATAGAAAGTAGAAAGGTGGTTGCCAGGGGCTGGGAAGAGGAAGAAATGGGGAGTTGTTGTTTAATGGGTACAGAGTGTCAGTCTGGCAGGATGAAAAAGTTCTGGAGAGCTGCTGTATGACGATGTGAACATATTTAACACCCCTAACTGTGTATGTAATGGTTAAGGTGGCAAATTTTATGTTTTCTTTAAAACACAATTTAAAAATAAATGTGTCTTACTAAATTAAATCTTACGCTTTCTTGAAAAACATAACCCCTGGATATATTCACACACAGAGAATTCTTAATTTCATTTAAAAAGTTTTTTTTCAAGGAATTTCAAAAGGAAATCAAACTGTAACATTAAAAGTTATCAGCTAAGCACTGTGCAAGTTAAATCACAACAGAGTTAGCCTCTATCCATCAAACAGTCTGGGTGCTTGCTTGTGCTGGGAGCTGCGTTAGGCCTGAGGAATATAAGTCTGGTAAGCTTTTTGTCATCTTGGAGTTTACATTCTATTGTACTAGAGGAAATAGACCATAAAGAAAGAAATGAAATCACTAATATTGTTGTGAGTGCCATGAAAGAAGGGGGACTCTGACATAACAGGGAGTCATCTTAGGACAGATGGAAAAGGCTTCTCTGAGGAAGTGGACATTATGGAGACCTGAAAGGTGAGAAGCCAGCCAGAAGAGCCAGGGGAAATGTATCAGAGGCAGAGGAAACAGCAACTACAAAGATCTTACTCTAGTGAGCAAGAGGAAAGTAGCCTAAGTGGAAGCCAGAGAGGAAGGCAAAGGCTAGAACTTCAGGCCTTACAAGGCCTGGTATAGAGCTTGGACCTTCTTCAACTGAAACAGTAAGATCCTGGAAAGTGACACAATGTGACTTCCACTTATAATGCTCATTCTGACCGCCATGTAGGGAACGGTCTGGAATGGGATGCATGGAATGTACAGAAGTTGATAGATCGGTTGAGAGGGGACGGTGGCCACCCAAGTGAAAAAATAACAGTGCTATGGGCTAGGCTGGTGGCATTGGGACACTCTTAAAAAAATAGAGATTCCTGGATCCAACCTACTAAATCAAAATACCTAGTAAGTAGGGCAGTACCAGTGCATGGACGAGATTTTGTAAACCACTAGATTAACATAGGAAATTTTCAGGAAAATGTTAAGGCATTTAGGTCTGGAGTTCTTAGGAAAATTATTACATTTTTCTGAAATGATGACTTCAGATTTTAGCAATTGAAATATTTTGGACTATGTATTTCACTTAAAACAGTTTAAAATTCAAAGCCCTTAAACACACACACACACACACACACACACACAAATTCTCTCTTTTTAGAATCACCTACCTGAGCCCGGTAATTCCTGGAAAAACCTGAACACTACTACTGGAGAACTGAGCTCATCTTCCACCTGAAAAATGGAATCTGACGTTACCCAGTAACATAAATTTCAAACACCTACAAAATGATACAAGCTGGAAACAGGCTAGAGCTGTTATATTTTCTTAATAAACATGTAAAAAGTTCAAAGGTTAATTTCATTTGTTAGAGAAATAAAAATTAAGAGTTCAGTAAAATTCTGAGAAATAACTATAAGCTAGTTCTGCAAACACACTGCTGAATTACGATATGTGACACTGGTACACTGAAATTAAAGCAGGAGGAAGTTTTAATAATAATGGATAAACATAAGTCTAACATTACAGATAAAAAAAAAAAGGCAAGGAAAAAGTGGAACTAGAATCAGTGTTGAGAGAACCAAAGCTTTCAAGACTCCATAAATAATGCTAACTCAATCAGGACTGACTGGAATATTTTAGTCATAGAAAAAAGGAGAACAAGGACTTTCACTTTGTCAAACTCCCTGACCAGGATGCAAGGCCTGCTGGCAACATAGATAGCCACAGTCTAGAACTGTATCTTTGTATTTTCTAAATCAGTAAAGTGGTGCTATATTCAGGACAGCCATCAGGCAACCAACTTCGCAGATGAAGTTCATGACAGATAAAAATTTCCACTTGCATAAGCCAGTGTAAGTTCATGCTCTCCACTGAACAAATACACAGTCGGCGATCTGCTTTACCATGGAGTCAGGATACAGAAGGAGCAACAATGCCCTTGACAGACTGGTATTTTGAGGGATGAGGGAGGGAGAAACATGGGGAGAAAAAGTCTCTAAGCATTCAACAATTCTAGTACTACTATTCTAGTTATAAAACTTATTTTCCAAGGCTCTGTGATGTGATGGCTCACTTGTAGAGCCAAACAGGAAATACTAACTTGGAAAGAGGACAGGAAATTGTTGTCTCAAGATCTTTTTATTGACTTTTCTAAAGACCCTATGGATGTGATTCAGATCAAAGATGACGTATATTCAAATCTGCTAATTATCTATTGAGCTAATTCCTGTATCTTCAAAATTATTATTCCTTTAACTTTCATAAAAATAAATGCATTAATACTTTAAAGTTAGAAGGGCTTAATATTTAAATAGAATGGATAAGCCCAATAAGGAAATAGGAACAAGAGTGACAAAATTCTACAACCATTCCCCTTTCCTCAGGATAAGGCAGAGTGATTTGAGTGTCAAGACTTCTATATAATCTTTTGTTTCTTATTTCTTTGAACTCAATGATCTCATATGTCAGTGTGCATAAGAAATACTGCACAGTGTTATACAGTCAGCCCTCCATACCTGTGGGCTCCATACCCAAGAATTCAAGTAACAGGGCATAAAAAATATTTGGAAAAAAAACAACTGTAATGTCCCTGACATGTACTACGTAGTTAGGCCTATGGTAGTTGCATCTGTACTGCACATGTAGACTCCTTTTTTTGTCATTATTCTCTAAAAAATACAGTATAAAAACTATTTACATAGCATTTACATTGTATTAGGTATTGTGAGTAACCTAAAGATGATTTAAAGTATACAGGAGAGTGTGCATAGATTATATGCAAATATATATAAGGGACCTGAACATAGCAGATTTTGGTGTCTTCAGAAGGTCCTGAAACCAGTACCCTATGCATTCTGAGGGATGACTATATACCTAGAATTCTGGTTCTAGCAACATGGCAGACTAAGATAATAATGAAGTTATCAATTCTAAATACCTGAAATGCTGGATTAAATATAACTGACAACCAAAAAAAGTTTAAACCATTGCTAGGCTCACAAAAAAGGTGAAACCAGAAAGAAAACAGAAAGGCTATTATTGTAAGGCAAGCTGCAGAGGCTGGGGAGACAGGCACATGTATGGGTCTGAAGCTTGGCTTTAATGTCTAGGATCTTGGGTCTTTAGGCCCATGTGAGGGATAGTGGTGACTGTGAATAAAGCCAGGACCCTTGAAGAATAGTCCTTATGAAAAGATGGAAAGAAAAACTTCACCCACCTGTCAGCAAGAAAGCTTAACCCTGCCTGAGGTTCTATAAAGGAAGAAAAAATATTCTTGCATGAGAAATCAAAATATCATGTGTGCAGTGCACCTGGGCTTGATATACTATGTGGTATAGGATTCCTAAAGCAGTGAAACCAAAATAAATAAATAGGCCTAGGCCAGTCACACAAGAAAAGAAAAACAAACGAACCAGCTCATAATAAAAAAAACAATACACACAGAGAAAATAAAGTCAGTAGACACAACTGAGAGGGCACTTTATGTCCCCAAGAACTGAAACAGTAAAACAACAATCTGAAATAGACTGTAATAACTGTGTTTAAATAGAAAAACAAAAGACCAGGAAACATTTTTAAAAGATAATTAAAAAAGACAATGATTTGAAAGAACTATAGGGAATATCCTGAAATGAAAAAGAAGTTACCTGAAGCAAAAATACAGTCATAAGTTAAACAGATTAGCTGCAACTCAAGAGCAAATTATTGAACTCAAAGAAAGGTCTGAAGAAATGCACTAGAAGACAGCAAAGAGATGGAGGGCACCAAAGACACTGACGGGAGACGGAAAAACCAGGCTCGACATGCAGCTGAAGAGCTAGCAGATAGGACGACCAAAAAAAAAAGTCATATTTGAAAAAATGAATTCTACATAATTGATTAAAAAAAGAATCCTCCTGCCCTGGCCAGCGTGGCTCCGTGGGTTGATGATCATCCCACAAAGCCAAAGGTTGCCGGTTCAATTCCCAGTCAGGGCACATGCATGGGTTGCAAGCCCTGTCCCCAGTTAAGGTATGGATGAGAGGCAACCAAATGATGTTTCTTTCCCTCTCTCTAAAATAAATAAAATCTTTAAAAAAAAAAAAAAAAAAAAAAAAGAATCCTCAGTTGAAATAAACACAAGTCCCAATCAAAAAACCCCCAAAACCTCACTTAGATATATCATAGTGAAAGCAGGAGAACACTAAAAAGCAAAGCCAGCAGAAATGCAAACACAAAACCAGGTAAAGTAACCCATAGGGGAATTTTGAGATTTTTCAGGTATAAAGTGATAACATAAGACTACCCCTTTGTGACTTTAGACTGTAACCCATGTGCTAGATGAGAGTCCAGTAAAGTAACAGCTTTATGATGAAGCTGCAGAGAAGACCTGAATTGGTTCACTGACAAAACAGGTCAAAAGTCACCCCTGGCACCCTGGCAAAGGTGTCGGTGCTGGTGCTGGTGTGCTAGGGGAATGGATCTGTGTTTCAGTGATGTGAGGTACTCCTGAAGGGCCATCCAGATGGGAAGGAAAGAGGCCCATGACAGTTTGAAGAAGGGAGACAACTATTCTTAGGTAACCTGTATTTAGGTCCCGGCTTTGCCACATACTAGTTATGGGACTCTGGACACATAACTAGTCTGAGCAACGGAAATGGAAATAATAGTGCCACTGTGACTTATTGTGAGGATTCAATGTCTCCATATGGTTTTTTAAGATTTTATTTATTTATTTTTTTAGAGAGAGGGAAGGGAGGGATAAAGAAAGGGAGAGAAATTTTGATGTGAAAGAAACATCAATCAGTTGCCTCTTGTATGCACCCCCAACCGTCTAGTGACAGCTGTCATCTTAACATGCATCTAAAAAAAAAAAAGTATCGACTTCTGGTTAAGATGGTGGCATAGATAAACATAGGTCGCCTCCTCACACAACCACGTCAAAATTACAACTAAAATATAGAACCACCACCACTCAGAGCCACCAGAAATCAAGTAGAATGGAAGTCTGACAACTATGGAATTAGAGAAACCACATCCATCCATACTGGTAGGAGGGGCAGAGATAAGGAACAGGTTGGTCCCACATCCATGTGTGGTGGAAATAACTTTGGGAGGGATATCTCAGGAGTGAGAAGTCCCAGCCCCACACCACACCTCCCAGCCCAGGGTTCCAGTACAAGGAAGATAAGTTTCCACAACTTCTGGCTGCAAAAACCAGTGGAGATTGAGTTGGTGGAAGAAATTGCTAAAGTCCTGAGCAGTTAATCTTAAAGAACCCACACACGGACTCACCTATTCAGCCTCACTCCTTCTGAGCTCTAGCACTGGGGTAACAGCTTGAAAGGTACCAGTGGCATAAAGGGAGAAAATGAAGTGTCCAGCATCAAGGCCAAGGCTGGGGGACAACTTTCTCCCAGACAGAAAAGTGGACAGAGGCCACTGTTCCTTTTCTGACCCCTTCTCCCACAAAGCCACAGAGCCAGCAGGCTGGTGCCAGATCTGAGACTCCATCAACTTGACTACCATAGTTTGCCACACCCTGGAAATCCCCTGAGACTCCATCCCAACCAACTTACAGGCCCATTCCAAGCTGCTTTTCCAAATGAAGAGCTGGTTTTAGCTCAAGCTTTACAACTTCCTAAATCCTATCAAAGAAGCAACAGCCAGTCTCACTGAACCCCCAGCCCCTGCACCTCTTGCTAAGTGGCCCCAGGCCTGGTACTAGCAGCAGCCAGCCTAGATTCACAGGTTGGCTTTACCTGGGAATCTTCAAGCCCAGCACAAACAGCAGCCATCTCAGACTGCTTTATAGCTCAGGCAGGAAAACCCAGGCAGACGCAGGTCGGGGCTGACCTTGGCTTGTACCACCAGGGAAACCCCAGAGCCTGTGTACCCAGTGGGCAGCCACAGACCATGTCAGAGCACCAATACCCTGTCCTTGCACAGCTGATCCTCCATGGAGGGCAGAGGATGGTAGTCAGTCGTCACAGCCAGTCCTTGCAGCTGACTGGCCTGGGTAAATCCCTCCCATTAACCTGCCAACAGCAATCAAGATTCAACTATGAGAAGAGGGTGTACTCAGCCCACACAAAGGGTGCACCTTGAGTACACACCTTGGGTGATAGGGGAGGCTGTGGCAATGGACCCTAGAGGACACCTGCTACATTAGGCCACGCTATTAAGACACGGAGTCATAATAGCTCCTCCTAATACATAGAAACAAACACATGGAAACTGCCATAATGATGAGACAAAGAAACATGGCTTAAATTAAAGAACAGATCAAAACTCGAGAGAAAGATCAGAATGGAGATAAGCAATCTATCAGATGCAGAGTTCAAAACGCTGGTTATAAGAGTGCTCAAGGAACTTAGTGAGGACCTCAGCAGCATAAAAAAGATCCAGTCAGAAACAAAGGATACACTAACTGAAATAAAGAACAATTTACAAGGAAACAACAGTACATTAGATAAAGCCTAGAATCATATCAAAAATCTGGAAAATAAGGAAGCAAAAACAACCAATCAGAATAACAAGAAGAAAAAAGAATTTAAAAAAAAAATGAGTATACTCAAAGGAGCCTCTAGGACAACTTCAAGCATTTCAACAGTCACATCATAGGGTACCAGAAAAGAAGAGAAAGAACAAGAAATTTGGAAATGTAGTTGAAAAAATAGTGGAAGAAAACATCCTTAATTTGGTGGAGGGAATAGACATGCAAGTCCAGGAAGCACAGAGTCCCAAAAAGATGAATGCAAACAGGCCCACTCCAAGACACATCATAATTAAAATTCCAAAGGTTAAAGATAAAGAATCTTAAAAGGAGCAAGAGAAAATAAGTTAGTTACCTACAGGGGATTTCTCCTAAGACGATCAGCTGATTTCTCAAAAGAAACTTTGCAGGATAGAAAGGATAGGCAAGAAATATTCAAAGTCATGAAAAGCAGGGACCTACAGCCAAGACTGCTCTACCCAGCAAGGCTATCATTTGGAATCAAAGGGCAGATAAAGAGCTTTCCAGACAAGAAAAAACTAAAGGAGTTCATTATCACCAAGCCATTATTACGTGAAATGTTAAAGGGACTTATGTAAGAAAAACAAGATAAAAACTATGAATAAGATGGCAATAAAAACATACCTATCAACAACTGAATCTAAAAAATATTCTAAGCAAAGAAGAACAGGGACAGAATCATGGATACAGAGAGCATTCTGATGGTTGCCAGGTAGGAATGGGGTGTGGGGGAATGGGTGAAGAGATGAGAAGATTAATAAGTACAAACAGGTAGTTACAGAGTAGCCATGCGGATGTAAAGAACAAAACAGGAAATGGAGTAGCCAAGAACCTATTTGCATAACCCATGGACATGAACAGTGATGTGGGGATTGCCCGAGGGAGTGAATGGGGACAAAGGGGGAAAAATTGGGACAACTATAATAGCATAATCAATAAAATATAATTTTAAGAAACACCAAAATTGGTGCATTTTTGTGGAGCCATTTTAATACTGATGATGGAAGAAGATATGCAACATTTTCAGCACATTATGCTTTGCTATTTCAAGGAAGGTAAAATACATCTGAGATGCCAGAAAAGATTTGTGCAGTGTATGGGGAAGGTGCTATGACTGATTGAATGTGTCAAATGCGGTTTGCCAAGTTTCTTGGTATTATTGACATTTTGGACAAAAATTCTTTGCTGTGGGGTTGTCTTATGCATTGGAAGATGGTTAGCAGCACCCCTGACCTCTACCCCAAGAAGTCAATAGTGGGAGATAGCTGATGTATTCAAAATATCCATACCAATAAAGTTATTTGTGAAAATGAAAAATGTGTCCTTGTTTTACAGAAAAAACTAAACAGTACTAAATGGACCTTTTGGCCTACCCAGTGTTTTATGTCTTACAATCTTCATTTTGCTTTCCCATATATGCCCTTCATAACAAGCCACTGAGGCAAAACAAATTAATTTCTCCTGTAAACTGTCCTGAGACTGGTCCACTGGTGAACAACATGGGCTTTGGAGTTTGAATTTCAGCTCTACCACTACCTAGCTGTGTGGCCTGGGCAACTCAACCACTTTGTGCCTTAGTTCTCTAACCAGTAAAAAGGGAGTAACCATTGCATCCAACTCACAGGTTAGATTTATTTATTCATGCTTGAATGCCTTACTCTATGCCACATACTATATTCGGCACAGGACATAAAACCATTGAAAATAAAAAAAGACAAAAATCCTTGCTTTTAGGAAGCTTCTACAGGGAAAAAACATACAACAAACAAACATATAATACTATTTCAGGTAGTGGTAAGTGCGATGAAGGAAAAACCCAGGAGGATAGAGAACGGTGGATGATGGGGGCTGTTCTAGATCGAGTGGTCAGGGAAGATGTCAGGGAAGAAGAGGTGATATTTGTACTAAGATCTGAAGATAAGAAACCAATCATGGTAAGAATTAGGGAGAACAGTGTTTCCAGGTGGAAGGAACAGAATATACAAGGGAGACTGCTGTGAGGGTTAAATGAAATAATGCAAGTAAAGTTCTTAGTACCTTGCACTGTACACAGCAAACATTTCACAACAGCAACTGTGACAATGATGATGATTATTGACAGGCCACAATGCCTCACAGTGTTCACCAAATATTGTATCCCCAAATGAGAAAAGTAGTCTTTGGAAGTAGGGATGGTCAAGGTTTATGCCTGGGCCATATGTGGCCTTACAAAGATGCTCCAAATCAACTGGTGATTAAGTAGTATCATCAGATCCTCCCTGCTTGAAGGACACAGAGAGAGAAGCAGAGGGGACATCAGGGCAGCCTGAGCAGGCTCAGCAAGGGGAAGACAGAAAAAGTACACAGGCCACCACTGTCTTGATTCCTACCAGCCTGCTCGTTTGAATCCAAAATTTGGGTTTCTCTGATTTCAACCAACATACCTTCACTGAGTGCTGAGCTCATGGGCTTAGGCACTTAAGAGAATGACTGAATGTCACAGGCCCCTGTGGTATGACTGAAATTAAAACCCAAGTCTCCTGACTTACATCATCTGTCTGCTTCTCCGGTGGACCCCTCTCCTCTTCTGAGCTAGAATTTGGGTCAACTAAGGTCAACTGAGTAGGCTACAAGCTCAGAAGGCAGTGCAGAGCAGCCCCCTTCTCAGGCACTTAAACCACACCATGCACTAAAATGTAAATAAGCTGCACTAACTTGAACACCGAATAAAAGCAAATTTTAGTTTAAAATTCAAATGTATCCTGTAAAATTGTAAAAGTAACACTCAGTGATCCTGTTTAAATTAGAATCTGACCTAAAGATTTTCTGAAATTCTAAAATACAATAAAGCAAAACATGAAAACATTCAAACCTGAACTGATACTTGGCTATCAGCCTTACTAAATTCTCATTTCCTTGTCTAGTTATTATCTCCAGGGGGTAATCTGGTAGATTGATGTCTTTTAGGAATACACCAGGGGAGATGAGAGCAGGGCATTTGCTTTTCTCTTCCTTATTCCCCTTTGTGCAAATGAAAACCCTGGTGTCAGAAGGTTTTGGAAAGAGTAGGCCAAAGCATTCTGAAAGATAAAATAATTTCTCATTTCAGGAAGAGAAATGTTCTACAGTTGTTGGGCCAGTAAAGTCAATGGTGTAATTTAATTCTGTGCAATTCTTAATTTTAACAAGATAAAAGTACGATTGGATTCTATGAAAAGCAGTGTAAAAAGGGGTTCAAACAGTATATGGTGCAAATGTCTAGTGTTTATGCTAACTGTAGAATTAGGTTATTAGTACATGCATGAGTCTCTTGCAAAGCATGTGGCTTTTTAAAGTCCAGCATAGGAAACATAGTCAATAATACTGTATAAACTATGTATGGTACCAGCTGGGTACTGGAAATAACAGGGGGAACACTTTGTAAAGTATATGACTGTCTAACCAATATGCTGTACACCTGAAACTAATACAAAATGATACTGAATGTAAACTGTAACTGAAAAAAAACTTTAATTAAAAAAAAAGAATGTGGTTTTACTGGAGCTGCCACAATTCCACTGAAATGCATCAAATCTGGAGAAAAATCTAAGTTGTTAAAGTTAAAAGGTATTTTACTTCAGAAACAGATCATATTATATACTATACCAAGATTTTGATGTGGTTCACTTTCTTCAAACTTTCTTGCAACCGTTGACTCTGCAAATAACAACAAAAAAACAGCTTATGTAATTTTATTAGATTGACACAACATATTAAGAAGCAATTTTCATGAGGTCTTTGTAGGTCTGCTAAACAAGGATCCCAGGCAGACAAAGCCATCTGCATCTTGGTGATTTCTAAGTTCAGTTGTCAATTTTTGCATTTCAACATCTGCAAATATTCCCTATACTTCCAGTTTAAAGTTATATTTCATGGATCTAGAAGAGCTCTTTCTGATGAGACACAAGTGAATTTTTATCCTCACCTGAAGACACTTTTTTTCACTGTTTTCAGAGAGAGAGAGAAAGGGAGAAACATCAACCAGTTGTCTCCCATATGTACCCAGAAAGGGGATGGAACCTGGAACCCAGGGATGTGCCCAGACTGTAAGCCAAAACTGCAACCTTTTGATTATGGAATGATGCTGCAACCAACTGAGCCACACCGGCCAGGCCAAGTGAATTTTTCATATTAGCAATTTAAGTCATTCATTCATTCATTCAAAAACTACAAAGTGTAGGCAACAAAAGCGAAAATAAACAAGGGGAACTACATCAAACTAAAAAGCTTCTGCACAACAAAGGAAACCATCAACAAAATGAAAAGGCAACCTACTAAATGGGACAAAATATTTGCAAATCATTTATCTAACAAAGGGTTAATGTCTAAAGTATATCTAGAACTCATACAACTTAATAGCAAAAAAAAAAAAAAAAAAAATCAATCTGATTAAAAAAAAATGGGCAGAAGATCTAAACAGACTTTTCCCAGAGAAGATAGAAAGATGGCCAACAGATGTGTGAAAAGATGTTCAACATCCCTAATGATCAGGGAAATGCCAATCAAAACCACAATGAGATATTACCTCACACCTGTCAGAATGGCTAATATCAAAAAGACAAGACATTACAAGTGTTGGCAAGCATATAGAGAAAGGGGACCCCTTGTGCACTGTTGGTAAAACTGTAAATTGGTCCAGCCACCACAGAAAACAGTATGGAGGTTCCTCCAAAAATTAAAAATAGAACTACCATAGGATCCAGCAATTCCACTTCTGAGTATTTATCTGAAGAAAACAAAAACAGTAATTTGAAAAGATACAGGTACTCGCATGTTTACTGCAGCATTATAGATAAGAGCTAAGATATGAAAACAACCTAAGTGTCTATTACGAGATGAATGAATAAAGAAAATATGATATACATGTGGAATATAATGGACTATTACTCAACCATAAGAATGAAATCTTGCCATTTGCAACAACATGGATGGACCATCTGGACATTATGAACCAGAAGACTACTGCCACAGTAAAATGAAAATACTAATTTTTTTTTAAGTATAAAAATGACACTTGAGGAAGGGCCAATTCTCCAAGTATATATTTAAAATGAAGATTTACTTTTAAACCTATTTGCATAACTTACTGTATGGTTAGGCACTACTACTACTGTAAGAGCTTTACATCCATCAACTCATTAGGTCCTTATAATGACCTTTTGTTATGTCATTATCCCTATTTATAGGTGAGAAAACGGAGTTATAGAGAGGTGACATCACACGTGGAGAATTAGGTAGGACTCAGTTCTCCAACTGCATAAATACAACATTTTTTTTGCTTTCTAAACTACAGCATAATTATATAATTTTCAAAATTAGGACACCTCAAAGAGAAAGAATTAAAACTGTCCCCCAAAGCCTGGCAATTAGGGAACTCAAGCCAGCTGATGTTAAAAATATATGTGCCATCCATTATCAACTCCTAACCCTCATCTTCCTTTATCCTCAAGAGTCAGTCAAGTGGAACATTTATGCCCCTTTTTGCAGCCTTCGCCAGTCCTTGGCTGTCATCTTGTGACTTCTTTTCTCATCCTACGCTGACAACAGCATTCATTTTAATCTGGTTTCATTCGGATACAAATGCTGGGACAACCCCAGCAGTCTCTCCCAGAACTCTGAACAAGAAATGTATACATGCTATTAATATGCTTGCTTATGAAACTGAAAATCCAGACAAGGATGGAGGCTAAATCAATGAAGTATTACAGTATTCTTCTGACTCTGCTTTTGCCAAAGAGTATTTGTGACTCATTTAAACTTTAGATTTCTACTCACCAGTTGGCAGGCATGCTTAATCCTCTCCACAATCCCATCGAGTCCCAAATATTGTAAAGACAACCACAGTGGCAGGGAACGGAGTTTGTCTGCTGGCTTATTTGATGTAAGACCAGCAATTAAAGTCTAAAAAAAAGCCAATATGAGTTTATTAACCAAAGCTAATGAAATCACACGGTAGAATTAACTAGTTACCATTTACTAGGTACTTAGTATTTGTCAGATGCTATGCCAGGCACTTGGCTTGCATTATTCATTTGATCATCCAACAACTCCATGAAGTTTATTCTAGGCAACTTAACCCAGGGACCTTACTTTGCTCAAGGTTTCATGTCTGAGATGTGGCAAAACTAGGGTGAGAATATAGAAGGGTCACATCTCAGAGCCAGAGCTCTTAGCCACTGAAGAAGCAGCCCTTTCCAAGGCTGTTCTGATCATTCTTGAATACTTGATCATTATCTATTGGGCAAGAAATCAGATGTTACAGCAAGAATCACTTAAAGCTTGTTTTGCATGAACCTATCGCTAAGTGGTTCACTGTCAAAAACCATCAACTATACTTTGTTACAACCTTCTAGACAGTGTGGACCGAGTGCTGACAGGAATGCCACTTCTGGGAACCTATTCTAATGAAATAATTTGAAGAACAGAAATATGCTCATTATTTCAGTAACAAAAATTTGAAAACATCCTAAAAGTCCATAAATGTAGAATGAGTAAATAAATTGTGGTATTAAAGTGACAGATTATGCAATCATAAAATATCATAAAATGTTCTTCATACACAGATAAGTATGGGGAAAATAAAGAGGAAAAAAAATACATCACACAGTTTCACTTCGGTTAAAAAGTTTTTGAAAACAAAAACTAATAGAAGTGACATTAAGGAAAGTTTTCACTTTTTCCGTATTTTGCTCCCACACCCAAAAATGATTACGAGCCACTCCCTACTCCCTGCCAGTGACAGCAGGCTTACCAAGGCAGGATCGTCGTGTTTATAAAGGGTAACTGCAGGAACAGCTGGCAAACCCAGCCATGGGCCTGGAGTCAATGTCATGCTATCACATTTGGTTGCCGCCTACCAAAGGGAGAACAGCTTTTTGTTAGACTATTAAAATACACGAAATCCAATACCTTCCCTCCATTCATAAGAACTGTGAAAAACCACCAGGGATTAAAGGATTTTAAATTCCTTCTTAAAAATACAATATTTAGTAAATCTGTCCTGGCTGGTGTGGCTCTGTGGACTGAACACCAGCCTGCAAACCAAAGAGTCATGGTTCAATTCCCAGTAAGGGTACATGCCAGGGGTGTAGGCCAGGTTCCCAGTAAGGGACACATGACAGGCAACCGCACACTGATGTTTCTCTCCATCTCTTTCTCCTCCCTTCCCCTCTGTCTAAAAATAAATAAATTAAATATTTTTAAAAATACAATATTTAGTAAATCAAAAACATACCAGCACTGAAGAGGAGACATAACCTAGAGCCAATGTTGCCAGATTCACACTGGAAGAAAAAACACCAATCTAAGAACTAATTACTTACTGCTGCTCATTCACTAAGTATGTACGTATATAAAAAAAGGCTCTGCTGTCTTCCAGCTATGTTATTAGCTTCTTTAACAGCAACAGAAAATGCAGTACATAAAAATTTCAGGAAACCCTTGAAAATTATTCCAGGGGATGTCTCCTACTTATTTAGTGTAATGGGCCTTATATCCTTCACAGCTATTATTTTTCAGTCACCATTCTTTCCCAGAAGGATAAAATAAAAAGAAACCTCCCTTGCATGATGTGTTGGATATGGATGGACGACTATGGCTGCCCTGAATCCTCTCCCCCTCTTCTCTCAGCAGCACTCAAATGGCCATCTGGGAAACCACCCCAGTCTCCTCTATCAGACCTCACTTTTGGGTGGAGGAGACACTGCAAGCTGCTCCAGAGGTGGGCAAATAACTTCAACTACATTTCCCTGGCCACAGTGATTGCTATGAGGCTTTTGGTGGGGGACTTCTGACCCACTGGACACAAACCTGGAATGAAGGCTGGAGTTGCTGCAGCTACTTTGGGCCATAACAGGAAAGTCTATCTATAGATAGAGCCAACACAAAGGATCTTAAAGCAAGTGACTGGGGGAGTAGGGGGATGACACGCTGAGTCCTGATTGGTGTGCCTAAAACCAATCCTAATACTGTTTGTTTGTTTGTTTGTTTGTTTGTTTGTTTGGAGTTATGTGAACCAATAAAATCTCTTCTCACTTAAGCCAATTTGGGTTATCTTGTTACCTGCAACCTAAAGAGTCCTTAGGGACAAATGTCATGACAAAATGAGAGCCTAGATGCCCACTTCTCATGAGCACTGTGTGCAGGCCACCCATGGAGCCAACCCCACCCTCCACTCACCCCTCCACATGAAGCCATATGCCATACTGCTCACAGAGTTCTTTCAAACGCCCAATTTTATCTGTGTGTCCCACTGCTGCAGTTCCTAGAATAAAACACACACAAAAAGATACTAAAAAGAACAAATACTTTCTGAGTCTTTAAAGCACGATTAAAGAGCTTTAATATATATACACTATCTCCCTGTGATGGAAGTAACATTATATCTGTTTTATTAAGATTTACTTTGTGGATTGGCTTAATATCAACTTTTGCAAATTGGTTTTGAAGAGTGTGTATTCTCCTTTACATGTATCTACAAAAAAGCTTGTAGCCCTGACTGGAGTGGCTGAGTTGGTTGGGTGTTGTCCTGCAAAGTGAAGGGTTGCTGGGTCGATTCTCGATCAGGGCACAAGCCTGGGTTGCGGATTCAGTCTGGTTGGGGTATATGTAAGAGGCAACCAACTGATGTTTCTCTCTCACACTAACACTGCTTAAGTACTTTTGTTCTGTTAGCATTTGTCCAAGATAGCTTTTCCTAGTCCAACTTTTTGTCACTTTCTGGGTTATTTTTATTTAGGTGTGTCCTTTTATTAAAAACCAAAAAATATAGCCTTGGACAGTGTGGCTCAGCTCGTAGAAGAGTCATCCTGTACACAGAAAGGTCACGGGTTCAATTCCCAGTCAGGGCACATACCCAGGTTTCAGATTCCATCCCAGTTGGGGCATGTATAAGGCAACCAATCTATGTTTCTCTCTCTCTCTCCCCTCCCGCTCCACCCCCACCCCTTTCCCTTCCTCACTCTCAAAGTAATGAAGAAATGTCATTGGATAAGGATAAAAAAAAATACATAGATGGATTTGAGGTATTTTTAACTAAATTTGGAGGTTCTTTGTTTTAATATAAAGCATGTATTCTGAAATCAGTTTGAACATATTAAACACTTTAATCCATCTCCTTGGTAAATTGTTTACACTACAGCTTTTTCTGGGCAAATCCCTCTTCTCAAAGAATGAATAAAATATGGAGTCATATATTCTCCCAACTATCCTAAATTTCCAGTTAGCAGAATCCCACCTAATAAGATTTCAAACCCTTACCAAATGCCTCAAAAAACACAACTGATGCCAAGTGATTCTTTTGCAGGTTTTATGGTAGGAAAAGGGCTGAAAACTTCCCCACTTGCAAGTTTCATCTCAATTTTTAAAAAAATCTTAACTGACACATTTGTTTTAGTTGAAACAAGATCAAGGGCCAACACAGAGACTATCATTCGATCCACCAAAACATAGAGCATAGTGCTGTGTTTTAGTGACCTGACCACATTTAGTTTCTCTTTTCAAGTTTTTTTTGGCAGTGTCTGCTGGCTAACCCCTGCGATGTGTACACTGGCCATGGCAGAGTAAGCCATACTGGTAAGTCACTCAGGCACATATATATTGTGGCCTCACCCATATATCGAATGACTGAATATGGGTGGGATCCTTTTTAAACATACAGTATGCTAAACCAGGCAGGAAGTGGTGGTTTTCCTGCTAATAATGAGATGGATATGTGTTTTTTGTTTATTATTATTTTTAAAATACAGTTGGTCCTCTGTATCCACATCCCTGGATTCAACCAACTTGAATTAGAAATATTCGGTGGGGGAAAAACCCAGAAAGTTCCAAAAAGCAAAATTTGAATCTGCCATGCACTGAGCACTATGCTGAATACACACAAATTAAGTGATATCGAGGCATATCCTCCTGTAGCCTATATGTAAATGTAGGTATTATGCAAATACATGATTTATATAGAGACTGGAGCACCTGTGGATTTTGGTATCCAAGACAGGGGAAGGTTCTGGAACCAATCCCCCATAGCCGAGGGGCAACTGTAATGAGTTTTATTGAATGAAGTATAATTTACAGGCAATAAAATCCACTCATTTAAATGTACGGTTCACTGAGTTTTTCCAAATGTAACCACCAACACAACATCAAAGTAGAGAATATTTCCATCACCCCAAAAGGACCTCCCCACCCTGAAGTTTCACTCTTTTCTCTACTCCCCATTGGCTCTGGACAGTCCCGATTGTTTTCTATCACTGTACTTTTGTCTTTTTCAGAATTTCATATAATCATACACGATGTAATTTCTTCTATGTCTGGCTTTTTGAGGTTAGCCTGCTTTTGAAATTCGTCCATGTTGATATGTATATCTGTAACTATTTCTACTTACTACTTAACAGCCCATGAGATGGATGTGCTACAACTTGTTTATCTATTCACAAAGTAAAGGACATCTGGGTTATTTCTCGTTATGATTGTTGCATACAATTCTCTGTGTGGACATGTGTGTCCTTTTTTCTTTCATAAATACCTACAAGTGGGACTAATGGATCATATACCAATTCTATGTTTAACCTTTTGAGGAACTGCCCAACTATTTCTCAGAGTGGCTGTAACATTATTTGCTCCCTACCAGCAGTGTATGAGAATTCCAGTTGCTCTGTATTCTCACCAGCATTTGGCATTGTATTCTTTTATTTTCTCCATTCTAGCAAATATGTAATAGTAGCTCACTGTGGTTTTAATTTGCATTTCTCTATGACTGATTAGCATCTTTTTAAGTGCTTAAACATTCATACACTGGTATTTTCTTTAGTGAAGTGTCTATTCAAATCTCTTGTCCATTAAAAAAAAATCTATATATTTGTCTCCTTAATACTCAATGGTAAAACTTGTTTATGTATTTTGATAAAATCCTTTGTCAGAAAAATGTGTTGCAAATATTTTCACCCAGTCTGTAACTAGCCTTTTCAATTTTCTTAGCAGGGTCTTTGGAATAGCAAAAACTTTTAATTTGTAATAAAGGCCAACTTATGGTTCATGCCTTTTGTGTCCTAAGAAATCTTTGCCTACCCCAAGATCACAAAGATCTACATTTTTTTCAATAAGTTTTAGTGTTGTGACTCATATGTTTAGGTCTATAAACCATTTATAATCAGAATGAGGTAAGGGTTAAGGTTCAATTTTTTTTCCATGTGCATATTGAATTGTTCCAAGACCACTGGTGGAAAAGACTATTCTTTCTCCCTTGAATTACCTTGGCATCTTTGTAAATAAATAAATAAATACATAAATAAAAATCAAGTTACCATATATGTGAGTCTATTTCTGAACTCTATTCTCTTCAATTAATTTCATACTCTCTTGATTATTTGTAGCTTTATAGTAAGTGTAAAGTCAGATACAGAAAGTCTTCCAATTTTGTTCTTTTCAAAATTATTTTGATTATTCATAGGTCCTTTGTATTTTCATATAAATTTTAGAATCAGCTTATCAATTTCAATAAGATTTATTCAAGTTCTACAAAATCTGCTGAGGTTTTGATATGGATTGATCTGAATCTATAGGTTAATTTGGGGAGATTTGACTTAATAATACTAAGTCTTCCAATCATGCACATGGCTTATTGTTCCATTTATTTGGGTCTCCTTTAACTTCTCTCACCAACATTTTGTAGTTTTCAGTGTACAGATCTTTCATATATTTCTTAAACTTAGCCATTAAGCTTTCATTTTTTTGATGCTACTATGAATAACATTTTAAATTCAATTTTAATTGTTCATCACCTGTATACAGAAATCCCGCAACCTTAATGAATTTATTAGTTCCAATGACTTTTCTTTGATTTACTTTGGACTTTCTAACTGTACAATCATGTCATTTGCAAGTAAAGACAGTTTATTCTTCTTTCCAATCTCTACGTTAATTATTTTTCTTGCCTATTGCACTGCCTAGAACTTCAAGTTCAATGTCAAACATAATATGGTAAGCAAAGAAAGTGGGAATTGACCTGCTGTTACACATTCAAGTATGCACATACGTGTATGACATTTCAAAATTCAATTTAGAAAGGAAGCGCATGAAGGAGAGGCACTTACAACCTAAATGAAAAAGTATACACACACAAACAAAACCCCTAAAACAAACCAACAATTAAAGGAAATCAAATGAGCCAACTTTCCCATAATTCTTATCACAATGCTCATACAGAGCTATCTTAAACATGTGGCATACAAATATTTCTTAAGATTTGGTCTATTTTAGGCTAATTACTTAGCCTCTCTCTTACATGTTCAAAATGTAAGATTCACGTTCATGATACCTACCAGCATTTGCAACAAGTAATATTGGTAGTTTTCCTCGTTCTACATCATCTTTAATCAATTTTTCCAGAAGGGCAACATCCTGGGATTAAAAGACAAACCATAAAAACATGAGGCAAACAGAATAAAAGTTATACAATGAAAAATTACAACTTCCAAAAGAAGCACACATTACTCTCAAAATTAATCACTCAAATCAATTCTTGAAAACTTTTTTAATTTCTCTAATCATAAATATCAACATCAAATAGTTTTTCTCGAAGATTAACTGAAAAATCAATTAAGTATGATTAAAGTTAAAACTGCAAATATAGAGCCAACATTCTCTAGTTTTAAACATTTATGTTTAAAGAAAATGTTTCAACCCCCAAAACCAGCCAAAAATGTATTTCTAATATTACTCATTAATGCAACTAAATTAACGTAAAGAAAATCAAACTATCTTGAAAAAAGAAATGCAGCCCTGGCTGGGTAACTCAGTGGGTTGCATCCAGACACACCAAGTTTGTGGGTTCAATTTCTGGTCGGGATGTATACAGGAAACAACCAGTGAATACATGGATACATGGAACAACAAATGGATGTTTCTCTCTTTCTCTCTCAAATCAATAAATAAAACAAATTTTAAAAAACCTTAAAAAGAAATGCAGAACCCCAAAACCTATCCTTTTTTCTTCTGGCTTCAGTGTACTATGGGAAGATCAAAGCAATAAATGAATAGGCTAATAATTACCTGGAGGCCAACAAACAGAACTTCAGTTAAAAGGAAGACAGTTTCAAAATACAATTCCAAATTATTTTACAAACCAAAAGGAGAACTCACCATCTGATGCTGGGATCCAAACATAGTGTTACAGGGCACACGAGACAAACAGGGGAAGGGCAAGCCAAGCTATAAGAAGAAACATACAATTTTACAAGAAAGCTCTTCGTCACTACTCACTTATGTACTCAAAAGACTGTGGCTCTAAGATAAGTCACAATTATTCTTTTTAAACAACATCTTTCCTTAGGGACTCTTAATATTATAAATAGATGTTGAAGTATATCTAGAAAGTTAAGCCAAGAGAAGGGTGAAGTTTCAGGAGCAGAGATGTCTTATAAGAGGGCAGAGACAATGTAAAATTTTCCTAATGAGTCACTGAAATGAGTTACTATCTTTGGTATATTTTATATACGAAGGGCAAAACACTTTCCCAAACTGGAAACAACCGAACCCTGAACATACTGGAGGATAATTTAGGGTCCTTCCTCCAAACATTAGTAACACCAGCCAAAGGCATTCAAAGAAGACCTTATTTATGGGTCCACCCACTCCCCAAAAATCAATAAATATAAACTATCAGATGTACATATCTTAAAAGAAATGAAGTCAGTGTTATAAAGATAGTAATTGTCAGATTTTATATTCTTCAGTTTTAGCTCACAAATCCTTGAGGAGCTTATAGTTTTAGACATAATTTAAATAGTTGCAACCTATTGTTCTATATAACTAAGACTCGGTAGAATTTAAAGATCAAACATTTAACAAGCACTTTATTCACACTCTTTCTCCCTTAAAGGATTTATCTTTTAAATTATGAAAGTGAAACCCAAATAAAGCACATGATAAAAAAAAATATATATAAATGCCCTGACCAGTGTGGCTCAATTGGTTAGGCATCATCCCTCAAAGCTAAAGGTCACCAGTTCAATTCCCAATCAGGGCACATGCCTGAGTAGTGGGTTTGGTCCCAGATTGGGGTACATACAAGAGGCAACTGATTGATGTTTCTCTTTCACATCGATGTTTCTCTCCTTCTCTTTCTCCCTCCCTACCTTCTCTAAAAATAAATAAATAGCCCTAGCTGGTGTGGCTCAGTGGATTGAGCATCAACCTGCGAACCAAAGGGTCTTAAGTTCAATCCCCAGTATAGAGCACATGCCTGGGTTGTGGGCCAGGTCCCCAGTAGAGGGGTGCAAGAGACAACTACACATTGATGTTTCTCCCCTTCTCTTTCTCCCTCCCTTCCACTCTCTAAAAATAAATAAAATCATATGTATATATATGAAGTGAAAATGCCCCCACATAAGCCACCAATCCACCAGTGTTAACAGGTTAGAATATAAGCTTCCTGACATCTTCTAGGTATAAATATATTTATATATTTTTTTCTAAGTATAAAAATACTCACATATGTAAACACTTTTGAACACATATATACTGTTCTGCCACCTGCCTTTCTCACTTAACAGAATATTGTCACACATCTTTTGAAGACAGGACTGCTGTCCCAGGATAGCCTCTGTTCCATAAAAAACTGGCCTGCAGTGGGTACTCAATAAGTAAATTATTCATGTTTCTACTGGGATATTACAAAACTCCCCCTTTCTCTTACACCCTCAAGAAGAGGACATAATTTCTTGACACCTGTGACCACAGCTCAGGAACAACTTAAGTCCCTAATTTCCCCCATCTTTCTCCCCAGGAGTCCTCCACCTTAAGAAAAACAAACCCTCCAACCCTAAGGGTGTTGCCTTAAAATATTCTTGGCCAAGAGACTTACCGTATTTTGCTGTGTATAATGCACACTTTTTTGCCCAAATTTTTGAGGGAAAAATAAGGATGCACATTATTCACTGATAGTACTAAGGATGCACATTGTACATGGGCACTAAACCATGGGTGCACATTATACACAGGAGCGCATTATACATGGCAAAATATGGTAATTTCTTGTCTCAAGGTAGCCCCTAATTGGGCTACTTTCATTATAAACTTTAAAAATGGTAATGCTCTTTGATATACTAATTCTAGATTGACTTTGAAAATCTGAGAACTATAACCCTAAATATAGAAAAGGCTTTTTATACACAAAGATGCCCGTAACAGCACTAAATGAAGAGCATTAACACTGGTCATAGAAATGGTCATAGAAACCAAAAGCATGCAAACACTCTTAACTGTCCAAAATGGAAGCAGTTAGTTAAAACACTATACACTCACTTGAAGGGATGTTATGAAGACATTAAAAATATACTTTACTTTGAAGAACTGTTAAAATATGACATATACCTGTAATAACAGTAAGTGAAAAAAGCCAGATATGACCATGTAAAAACACATATATAGTCTTTGATTAAAGCCTGGAAAGAAATAAAGTAAAATATTGACTGTGGTTGCTTTTGGGCAACTAAAACAAGTACATATCTAAGTTCATAAATATACATTTATGTTTTCTTATAATGAAAAAACAAGCATATAAAAAATCCATCTTCCTTTTCACTTAAAAAGAACAGCAGCTAAAGAAATGGGTCTACACACTTTAAGAAGTTCCAGGGCAGAACAAAACATCTAATCTTTAAAATGTCCACCTTGCACAACATTACCTGATTACAAAGGTACTGGCCCAGGCCAGGCCTAGCAGCAGCACTAAGATATATAACAGGTTTCTTGTTATATAACACGTTGAATCCGTCTACTATGAAGTCTTCATAACGAGAATGAAGAGCAAGCCTACAGATCTTTGCAAGTCCTTCTCTTTCTTCTTCATGAAAATAAGCACAGCCATTTTCATACCTGTTAAGAGACATTCATATATTAATTAATATGTTCTTATTTCTGGTTATCTCTGATTTTATATCTCAGTTTTGTAATCATGGAAGTAATTCTTTTCTCAGCCTAGAAACTGTCACTTAGATCAGGAAAAGGATACTGGAATCACCCTCGTCTTAGATGGCTGACAACTCCTTATAGCTGGAGGTTAAAAGGAACACAGGCAATGACCCTTCGTCCATATCCAACTCCATAAAAAGCAGAAACTATGCAAGTCAGTAAAGAACAGGAGTCCCTCAGATAGAAAAAGGCTGAACATCATGGTTTTGGCTTATTCTGTAAGAAGGCTAGTACTGGATAATGCAAGCATGGTTTCTTAGCAGAGTTTTAGCTCTAAAAGATCCAAAGTAAATAAAATGGTCAAAAACACTAATCAGTCTAACTTTCACTTTCACTACTATTTGCTGGGGACTTCTTCTTATCTCCTAGAGAAGGGGGGATAGAGAATTTCAATTACAGGTATTAGATTTTTATTATAAGAAAATTTCTCATCCTGGCTGGTGTGGCTCAGTGGATTGAGTGCTGGCCTGCAAACTGAGGGGTTTGGTTCCTGGTCAGGGCACATGCCTGGGTTGCAGGCCAAGTCCCTAGCTGGGAGCACGCAAGAGGCAACCAATCTTTCTCTCACATCGATGTTTCTCTCCCTCCCTTGCCTTCTCTCTAAAAATAAATACGTAAAATATTTAATAAAAAATTTCTCCTTTGCAATATAGTCAGGCATACTTATACTCCTGCCAGGCCAAACTCTTTCCCAACATCTGAAAGTGAGTCTCCGATGTTAAATGTTCCAATATTAGGCAATCATTCCTCTTCCATCAAAGTAATATAAAAATACTCCTGGTTCTATGTCTTCTACTGAGTCCTCAATCTGCTATAATTCCTTAATAATGCCATCATTACCACACTATAAAGCAAATTTCAATTTCATAACACATACTCATCACATTTCTTTTCTAATAAGCATAAACTACTACTTTGATTAAAAATATTTTAATCTGTTTCACTGCTCTACATTCTATCAACATGTGCCAATTAGCAATTCTAAAAATAAGGAACTGCTCACATTATTCAACATGCGTGTGCTTATGTTCTCAACTCTTTACATGTAATAATTCATTAGCTCATTTCATCCTCACAATAATGCCATGAAATAAATATTAATACTATCCCCATTTAGTAGATAAGGAAACTGAGGTATGGAGAGGTTAAGTAACCCTTTCAAGAGGAAGGAGAAGAGGCAAATTTGAATCCAGGTAGTACAGTGTCAGAAAAGATCTGTCATAGTCTATACCCAATTCATAAATATTTTTATTGGAAGCTAAAGACTTATAAAAAATAAAAATAAAACAAATAAAGACTCATAATATCTTTACCTGAAAATTCTGCATAGCCATAAGGTAGTGTCTGAAAGTATCCTAGTTGTAAGCTTTCTTAGCTTCTCTTTGTCGAGAGTTGAAATATAAGCTCCCAGACTATGTCCCAACAAAGCTATATGACCTTGTTCTCCAATACTCTGGATTCTGTTAATCAAAATTCATTAGATTAAAAAGATATATTAGTAAAAACATAAAGAAATAAAATTTTGAGTGACAGTATTCCACGGAAATTTCTCTCAGACTAAAAATCCACTTAATGGCCTAGGACTCAAAAATTCAGATGAATTTGGAAAATTCAATGCCTATAAGGTATTGACAGTTTGGGGAAGAAAACTATTTTAAAAATTAATTCCTAGGAGATAAATATCCTTCTATTTATTAAATATGTAATAAAAATACAAACTTTGTGAGTAATTTTATCCTAAAATTTTTAAAAAATTAAATACCAGATATAAGATCTATGGAAAGTAGTGCTAAAATGTGCAGAAAACAATCTTTTAAAGAATCATTAGATGCCAGTTCAATTCCCAGTCAGGGTACATGCCTGGATTGTGGGCCAGGTCCCCAGTGAGGGGTGTGTGAGAGGCAACCACACACTGATGTTTCTCTCCCTCTCTTTCTCCTCCCTTCCCCTCTGTCTAAAAATAAATAAATAAATAAAATCTTTTTAAAAAATCATTAGATGAAGATCAATGTCTTGCATTAAACAGCTATTTGTAACAGTAATACGGCAAATTTAAAGGGAACTAGGTATTTATATATAATTAAAATGGATGGACTAATTTCCCTTATAAAAAAACAACTGTTAAGTCAATTTTTAAAGAGCCAAATCAAACTGGATACTGGGCAAAGGAGACAATTCATAGAAAAGAAAATATAAATGGGTTTTAAAACATGCAAAGACACTTAACCAGGTTCATAAGAAAAATGAAAATTATGCTGAAATATCATTTCTCACCTACCAGACTGGTAACAACCCTTAAGTCTGCTAACACTCTTGCAGTCAAAGGTGTGGGGAAAGAGGTACTAGAGTTAGTACATACAGTGCTGGTGGGACTGTAAATGATCACAGGTTCCATTGAAGGAAATTTGGCAATATCTATCAAAATTAGAAATATACAAACTATCTGGCTAAGTGGCAAACTATCCCACTTTAGAACTTCAATATCCAAAAATATTTGCTTCTCTAAGAAATTATACACATACAAAGATATTGGCTGCAGCAATGTTTGCAACAGTAAAACATAACAAGAAAACTAGTTAAATGAAATATGGTTCATTCATTCAAAGTAAAAACAAACAGTTCTTAAAGGAGAAAACTCCTTGTATACTGATATGCAATGAACTGCAAGACACAAAAAAACAAGGTTCAGAACAATGTGCATAGTATTTATGTATTGGAGGGAGCAAGTAAAGATATTTTGTGCATACATACACATAAAATATTTCTGAGAAGCCCTGGCTGGTGTGGCTCAGTGGATTGAGTGCTGGCCTGAGAATCAAAGGGTCGCCTGTTTGATTCCAAGTCAGGGCACATGCCTGGGTTGTGGGCCAGGTCCCCAGTAGGGGGCACGCAAAAGGTACCCATACATTGATGTTTCTCTCCCTCTCTTTCTCCGTCCCTTCCCCCTCTCTTAAAAATAAATAAATAAAATCTTTAGAAAAAAGAAAAAAATATTTCTGAGAATACACAACATTGTCCTTCTCTAAGGAGCAAAACAGAGTAAGAGAGGCAAAAGTAAGAAGGAAAACTATCTTTGTGTACTCTTTTTATCTTTGAAATTTGAACCAGGAGAATGCGTCACTTCTTCCAAAAATTTAAATTTAAAATAATTAAAGGGAAAATGAAACTGAATGAATAGCTAAATAGATGAAAATAAAAATAAAGCAAAAGAATGATTTACAGACAAGGTGGCCTGCCACCAATCAGCTCAGTTGCAGCAATTCCTAGCAAGCAGAAGCAGAAGCAGAAGCAGAAGCAATCAAAAGCAAACAAATGCACAGCAACCATTCTTTGGTCCTTTTGCCAGCCCCTCCCAAAGACATGATACCAATACAATTACAGGATTTAGTTTTAGTAAATGTCTTCCTTTTACAAAATATATTATCTAAAATATATAAATGTCTTTCTGAAAAGAAAAAATAAACATCCTCTTAATAGCATATGTAACTCTTGAGTAAAACATAGCTAATTATTTCAGCAACTTGTAAGAATGTAATCACTTTCAAAATCAAGAACACATAATACTGTCAAAGAGAAGCTGCCAACCATTCTCTATTACCGAGCATCTTGGGGCTCCTCATCTTCATCTCCATGCATCAGATTCTGAACTAACTGAAGGATGCTCACCATATCTTGTCCACTGAAGAATAAAAAAAAAAGAATTGATGGACAGGTGGAAATAGCAGACATACCCAACCACTCTCTGTTTCTCTCATCCAAACCAACACTGATAAGTTTTTTTAATTGAGTAAGAATGTGTTTGAGATACAGTACACATCTTTGAAAAACAAACCTCAAGTTATTAACTGGAATTTTGAATACAACCTTACTCAAGATTAATTAAATCTTCTAATTTAAATTTGAGATTGAAATTTTTAAATTTCACTAATATTACTTAAGCAATATTTCTCTACCTGTTCATTGGAATCTTGGAGAATAAGCATGTCGTGAGAGCCAAAATAGTCCTTATGAGATGCTAAAGGTCACAGAAGCAGCAAAAATACTCCAATGCCATTGGTATATTTAGTTTCCCTCCATGTAGACATCTTGTCGGTTTGTTCTAACAGACTTAAATATGCAATGCAAGCATCACTTATTACCACCTCTTCCCGAAGCTGGGAAACTGGAGATCTCCTTAGAGTATAAACAGATTTACTTCTATCCAAAACATGTTACTAAGTGCTCATCATGTGAAGTGGTGAAAACTTCTGGGAAGAATGTGAATGGCTAAAGTAGTAAGCAATGTCAAACTGAATACATGTAATGTGAAAATATTATTGCTCCATTAATGAGAGTATGACTAATAAAAATAAAAAGTTTTCTCTTTTGAAAAAAAAGACTCGTTTGCCTCAATACCTATCCTCCCCAAGGTGCTGACCTTCATGCCAGAGGAGCTCTGGTCCTTGGACACTATGTAGAGATTAAGTTGTGTGCCTAGCCACATGACCTCGAGCAAGTTATTGAAACTCCCTAAATCCATACATTAGGGAATTGTGAGGATGCAATCAATGCATGTACAGCATTTAACGCTATACCTGGTATAGTGCTATCTCAGATGTTGGCTATTAGCACTATTAAGTGCAAATATGCATGACCAATAGCATTAATGCCCTCCCATTCTGAGAATTACAGATGGTCTTGGTGGTATCTCTTCTAGGAAAACTTCTATGGGATGAGTAGAACTCCTTCATTGCCTTCAGGAAATTTACTTCTCTGAGGAGATTTATAGGACTTGGTTCCTGTTCTGACCTGTAGAACACAATGCAGATCTGGAGGGCTTTAAACCAGCACCACTCAAGCTGCAAGCAGGAAAGCCTATTTTAAAATATTGGTATGTGGCTGTGTTAGATGTGACGTTTTTCAGCACACTGTGATCCTCCCTCCACACTTTTCTTTTGCAACCTTGTGCATATTTACACATTCAGGTCAAAGGGCAATTTAAGGGAGTTGTAATGTTTACCTATGTGCAGTTTCCTGGTTATAAAACAAAAAAGGAATAAGCTTGTATAAGGGAGGGCTGAAATTTTAATTACAAATTGAGTGCAAACACCCTGTGAAAATTTTAGTCAGATAGCTAATTATTTTTCTGATATTTCCCCTGCTAACTCAAACCACAAACACTTGACAAATTTGCTTTGGTTGCTAAAAAAAAAAAAAAAAAAAAGTCACTCTGCCAAATAAATGGTTAAAACTGACATTTTCCTTTCATTTTGCTGTATTATAAAAATAAATTAAAATATCTCTCACAACAAAGCACAGTCTACCATACAGATTACAGGTTTCAAGGATAAACTAAGTATGATATTTGAGTTATAATTAAAAATTTGTCCATTGTTTTTGATTTATGATGTTGTTTTAAATTCTGAATGGGAAAGGGGGAGAAGCAGGCAGGGTTAGCATTATCACCAAGCAGCCAATGGCCTTTCAGCTTTCTACTGTTACATTGCTCGTAACTCTAAATTTGCTTTTTGCTCATTAAAACTAAAACTGTAAATCAATGATGGTAAAATCTTGGTTTAAAGAAAATGTATACCCTAACTAAAGGTACTTATCTTCACTTCCACCTACCTGCCTTGGAGTGGCCCTGGAATATCCCCTGAGAGGAGCTTCTTTCCATTTTCCTCCTCTGTTATTCTTATTTAAAGGAAATAAAAAACCCATTCATTTTATCATATCAAATTTTTAACACTTGAGCATGTAAACATGTGACAATGTTACTTATAATATCTTAGCTACTGATGGTAGAATTTAGAACATATTTATCACTTCTCACCCACCCCCCTACACCCCTTACCCCAGCCCCCAATTTGGAGTATAACTTGAGTTTCAGGAAAAGAACATGAAAAACATACTTCAACCTATTTCTCAGTTAGTTGATGTCCTATATGACCTTAATATATAATAAGAAATATTTACAGATTCATATCAATATATTAAGTAAATTAAACTCTTAATAGGAAGAATTTAAAATTATCCTTTAATTACAATGCGTCTTCTTTCTATCCAAGACAAATGCCAACTTTAAAGTCAGCAGAAGCTAAGGATGACATTCTGAAACCCAGAGGTGTTTTTAATAGCAGTAAACCAGTGTCACCAGTTTCATAACAGGTTGAACAAGTTTAATAGGGTCACTTCTGTTCTACAGGCTCACCTGTGACTGTCCTCTAGCATCTTCATAGCCTCCTTCAAGTTTTTTCCCATTTTGGCTAACGTAGGGTCTGCTATCTAGGAAACAAATTTTTAAAAGGTTCAACTTTGATAATCCCTATTACTTCTATAAGCATAATTCATCCAGAAATACAGAACACATGGATTTATTATAAAGCACATGTTTGATTTAGAAATTCCAACAGTACAAGTGTATAACATAAAAAACACCACCAGTTCCACTCCCCAGGGGAAGCCAGTTTTAAGTCTGACTTACAACTTTCCAAATTTTCACCTTACTTATATGCATTTCTGCAACTTGCTTTTTTGTTTGTCTGTTTTACTTTATAGTGACTATGAGTCCATGTCAGTATGCCCACTTCATATTTCCTAGAGATGATACTCTATTCCATTTTATGGATGTACCATTGTTTAACCAGTTCTGAATTAATAGACCCTTAGGTTATTCCAGTTTTTCACTCTTAGAAGCAAGGCTCAGAAATGTGTACAGTATGCTATTTGTTTTACTGTTGTAGTAGGCTGAAAAATGCCCACCCCCGAAAAAAGATATACACACCCTAATCCCTGGAACTTGTGATGTCACCTTATATGGCAAAATCTTTGCAGGTGTGATTAGGTTAAGATTCTTGGGATGGCAAGATTACTCTGAATATCCAGGTGAGCCCTAAATGCATCACATGTACCCATATAAGAGAGAAGCAGAAGGAGACTAAACACATACATACACACAAAAATTGTGTGAAGATGGAGCAGAGGGTGATTTGAAGATGCTTGTCTCAAAGCTGGAGTGACAGGGCTGGAAACCAAGGAAGGAGTGCTGGCAGGCAACATAAGCTGGAATGAGAAAGGAAGGCGCTCCCTCCTAGAGCCTCTGAGGGAGCACAGCAGCCCTGTCAACACCTTGATTCAGCCCAGTGATACAGAGTTCAAATTCTAGCCTCCAGAACTGTGACAGAATACATTTTTACTGTTCTAAGCCATTCAGTTTGTGCTAATTACAGCAGCCACGGGAAACTAAGACATTCATAAATCTGCAAGTGCTTCTATAAACTCTGGAAGCTCACACAAACTGGTAATGTGACTGCCTCCAGAGAAGAGAACTGCAAGGACGGGCAGAAAGGTCGGAGGGAGTCTTTTCAGTCCACACCCCTTCTGTCATTTTGGATTTCAGTACCAACTGTACATCTATTTCAATAAAAAAAAAATTTTAAATCTTTAAAATTCTTGCAGAATTAAAACATACACACTACTTTTCCTTTTTTTTGTTAATCTCCATAGCAATTTTTAGGCCATTTTTATTGCTTTCAATCTCTATATAGCATGAGCTGGGTTACAAACATTTAGAGACACTCTCTTTTTCTGCTGTCTTCTTTTTGTTTGTTTTAAATATATATCTTATTGATTATGCTACTACAGTTGTCCCATTATTTTTCTCCCCTTTATGCCCCTCTGCCTTGCATCCCTCCCTCCCACCTGCATCTCCTCCCACCCCCCTAGTTCATGTCCATGGGCCATACATGTAAGTTCTTTGGCTTCCCCATTTCCTATAATATTCTTAACCTCCCCCTGTCTATTTTGTACCTACTATTTATGCTTCTTATTCCCCAAACCTTTTCCCCAATTCATCTCCCTCCCAACTCCCCTCTGATCTCTGTTTCTGTGAGTGTGTTCCTGTTCTAGTTATTTGCTTATTGGTTTTCGTTTTTGTTTCTTTTAGGTTCAGTTGTTGATAGTTGTGAGTCTGTTGTCATTTTACTGTTCATAGTTTTTGATCTTCTTCTCTTTCTTAGATAAGTCCCTTTAACATTTCATATAATAAAGGCTTGGTGATGATGAACTCTTTTAACTTGACCTTATCTGGGAAGCACTTTATCTGCCCTTCCAGTCTAAATGATAGCTTTGTGCTGGATAGAACAGTCTTGGATGTAGGTCCTTGCCTTCCATGACTTTGAATACTTCTTGCCAGCCCCTTCTTGCCTGCAAGCTTTCTTTTGAGAAATCAGCCAACAAGTCTTATGGGCACTCCTTTGTAGGTAACTGTCTCCTTTTCTCTTGCTGCTTTTAAGATTCTCTCCTTCTCTTTAATCTTGGGTAGTGTAATTATGATGTGCCTCGGTGTGTGCTTCCTTGGGTCCAACTTCTTGGGGACTCCGTGAGCTTCCTGGGTCTCCTGGAAGTCTATTTCTTTCGCCAGATTGAGGAAGTTCTCCTTCATTATTTGTTCACATAAGTTTTCAATTTCTTGCTCTTCCTCTTCTCCTTCTGGCACCCCGATTCAGATGTTGGATCGTTTAAAGTTGCCCCAGAGGTTCCTAAGCCTCTCCTCTTTTTTTCAAATTCTGTTTCATCATTCTCATCTGATTGATTTTTAGCTCTTCCTTCTGATCCAAATCGTTGATTTGGGTCCCGGTTTCTTTCCCTTTACTGTCGGTTCCCTGTATATTTTTCTTTATTTCAGTTTGCATAGCCTTCACTTTTTCCTCCCTTTTGTGACCATACTCAACCAATTCACATTGAGCATCCACATTACCAGTGTTTTGAACTGTGCATCTGATAGGTTGGCTATCTCTTCACCGCTTAGTTCTATTTTTGGAGCATTGATCTGTTCTTTCATTTGGGCCATATTTCTTTGTCTCAGAGCACCTGTTACATTGGAACTGGGCAGAGCCTTACGTGTTGGCCAGGACAGGACAATCCAGGTCGCTGCGTTGTGACGCTGTATGTGGGAGAGAGGTCTGAGAGGGAACAGTGGCTCTTGCTCTGCTCTTGCTCCACTTTCAGTCACTCCCCCTGCTACCCACAAGCAAATTGGGTGCTTCTGGTGCTGATTCCCGGGTGGGTGGGTTTGTGTACATTCTAGGACACTGTGCGTCTCTCCAAGGAGCTCTCCTGTGAGGCTGGGAGTTTCTCCTGCTGCTGTATCCACCACAGGTTTTTACAGCCAGAGGTTTTGGGACTTTCTTTTCCTGCACTGGAACCCTGGGTTGCATGGTCTGTCCTGCTCCCCAGCTGTTCCTCCTGGCTTATCTGCACGTGAATATGGGACCGCTTCATCTGCCAGCCGCTGCCTTTCTTGCCTGGTCCTCCAGCTGCCTCCTTGCAGCACAGTCCTCTCTGTCTCAGCTGCTCTTCCCCGGCCCTCCTACCAGTTTGGATGAATGTTTCTTCTTTAATTCCTTGGTGCTGGACCTCCATACTGTTTGATTTTCTGGCAGTTCTGGTAATTTTTTGTTTTTAAATTTGTTGTTGTCCTTCTTTGGGTTTTGTGAAGAGGCAAAGTATATCTACCTATGCTTCCATCTTAGCCAGAAGTCCTGTCTGTTCTTAGTTTTGAAGCATATGTTCATTTCTCCTCATATTTCCTATTGTACTTAGTAGTACCATATATGGAATAGGTGTGCAGTAAGTTGTATTACACTTCGTATTGCATTACCTCCTCACTGTGTGCCCTATTGCTGCAGTTCCTGTGAAAAACAGGATGGAACTGCAGCTTGATTTTCCCCCACCTGAGCCTCTCTCTATAGCACACACTTTTTCAGTGGGCTGGCTTACACTTAAATTGTTCTTCTTACTCTATTTTAGGAATTGAAGTGGGGAGGAGGAAAGGAAAGAGGGAAAATGGCCTTTATAGTTAAATTTAGGTGAATTAAATGTGAATATGATGCGTCTCTCATGCCATAGACCCTTATGTGCTTGTTGTTTTAGTTAGATAATCCAAAATATAAAATGATATCTAGTTGTGGGAAAATATTAGGTTCTAAGTCAAAAAGTGCTCTAAGAAAAATGTGTATTTATTGGTTGGTTCCTTAAAACTAAAAGCCATGCCCCCATAAACTTCAAGGAAGGGCAGCTACTACTTCCTTATTCACATTTCATATCCACAGTACTGTGCCAGGCAATGTATGCAAGAGCCTGTTTAAGCGTGCTTGGAAGCTGAGGAAATTCTAAAAGTGATTATAGAGTGGTAGTTACAAATGTGTAACAAAAATTATACATTTACTTTCACATGAATAGGGGAAAAATAATAACTGCAAAATCTAGGTTAAAAAAGAAGGGAAAGGTGAGTGTGGGGTGGGGTGGGAGATGTTTAGACTATAGCAACAGAAAGCAGATCTGCTATCCACTGGAAAGGGTCACAAGGGAACTTTACAGAGAGCAGAAAATGTCCCCTATTTTCATTATGCTGGTGGTTATATTCACTGTATACACCTGCCAAAACTCAAACTGTATAATTAAAGTGGGTATTTTTATTGAATATAAATTGTCCTCAATTTAAGAGAAGGAGATATAAAGTTTATTTAAAATAAATATTAAGCAAATAATAGTATAAGTGGTATACAGAAGTGACAAAAATTCACAACTGCTATTTGGGAAATATAGAGCTAAATCTTTAAAGAGAAGCAGTTTCCAGAAAAGAGGAAGTCTAAAATGTAATTTTAAAATATATTAATCATGGCATTCATCAATAATAGGAGTATATGATATTGTTGTTTCAATAAACTTTTTTCTGGGGAAGAATGTTCATATTGGTGGTGGGTGGGATTTTAGGACTACTGACAGAAAAAAAACTAAAGCATGTGAGGTGTGAAACTACCAGCTGCCTGTCTCATACAGAAGACCTTGCTGTTATATAATGCTAGTTTACAATGTATACATTAGATGTATAAAAAAAAAAAATCACCACCTTTCCTCAACTGATCAAAGTGATCCAATAAAGCTACCAATTGCTGTGTTTCTAACAACTTTCTAAACAAGGTTAATCCTGGATCCTGACAATAATGCAACTATCAACTCTCCAAAAACCCTATTATTTTCCTCCCACGTGAGAACATAAACCATGCCTACTATCTAGCACTAGTACCCCCAATACTATTCACCTCTGAGAAGCAGTAAGAACACAGCAGCAGCTGCTCTATGAACATAGCTGCTTCTTGTGATTCGAAGATCAGAGAAAACAACAGGGATTCCCTGGAAAGTTGATATAGTGCCTTGCAAACCTGGCTTACCTTACTGGAGGCTCAGTTTCTACATTTGTAAATATTTTTGCCTGATTCAAC